CTATTCAGTAGTTGTGTTAGGGAAGTGACTGATGGAATACAATGTGTTTACTGATAACACCATGCGAGAATATCCTGCAGATACACTGGAGAGAGACAGGATCAAAATGATCTTCACAAGTTAAGAGAAGTGTTTGGGGTGCAGGGAGGGGAGAATGCTGTCATTCCTCAAAGAGCCAACTTGTTCTGTACATAAATACAAGGATGGTAAGTCACTGCTTAAGCAATAATTCTGCAGGAAAAAGTCCTGGGAATAAGCAGGTTAATGTGTCATGTTGTAAAGCAAGATGTGATTTTGGTACATCTGGAGGGGTACACAGGCTGAAAGAGCTACAGCTCTGCTGCTGCAGAGAGAGACACTCCAGCATGAGCTGAAACAGTGAAATTCAGGACAGGGAAGAGCCACTGGACATATCCAAAGGAAACCAAGCAAGAGTGAATGTAGACCTAGAGAACAGCACCTGAAAGGAGAGATTGTTGGAAGTGTAAGTTATCTGTCCTTTTAGATGCTACCCCTGAGATTAATTGTATTGACTATTTACAATTGGAGGAGCTCAGTGCAACATGCTTAGGTGTGAGTGTGGCAAATACATACCCTTATGTTTCCTGTGGCAGTAAGGTTCATAGTCACTTGAATATGACATTAAAAAGCACTTTGATTGTTCCACATCTTAATGTATTGTGCTGTAAGAGAGGGGAAAACAGAGTATTCTGAGGTATCATGAACACAATGGCAACACCACATCTTTTATTGGACAAAGCTGTGTGATTTCTGCATCACCATCCGCCTCCTATTTATGAAACATAATATATGATTTGATTGGGAATATGAGTAAATGTGCACATTGAATGCCAGTCATTTGAGGAGTCTCTGGTTTCTGATTCCATTCTTTGCATTAATTTAGAAGCTTGTAAGGGAAAAGAATATTTGTATTGTTTGGGTTTTTTTTCCCCACACATATGTTGCTTACCATTTCTTCAGTTTGAATGTTATTTGCTGGTGCTTTGATTTTTACTCTGTCCTCTCTAGGTCTCTCTCACATTTCTCACTGTGTGGTCCTCACAAACTGACTAGCAATGTGTCCTGGGAAAATGCTATCAATAAACTATTTATCCATTGACCAAATAATTAAGAAATAAGTTACCTATGATTTTAATATGAAGCTGGACTAGAATCTAAGGCCAGGATTCATCCCATCTCGGTTTAGGCACTTAAGATCTAAAGGCCTTATCATTGAAAAGAGTCATCCTGAGAGGTGATTTAACCCACTCCAGAAATTATCAAATCACCAGGTTTGTTCAGTAATTATTTAGAGATTTTAGTAATAGTGCTACTTTTTTTTTTGTGTTTGTGATTAATCTAGACCTTATTCCTTGCTGTGGTGAAAACCATCTAACCTAATCCTAATCATCTTTCTTTGCTTCCAGACTATTTTTTGACTCATTACAATCTTTCATTTTACAGCTGTTTAGTTTCAACCAAAGTTTATTGTGAAATGTGACAGAATTTTTAGAAGACCAGCAAATTTTGTCATATGATTGTGTTTATTGAAATGTTCAAAAAATTAAAGATCAGTAAAATGCTGTTTTCCTTTGTAAAATCAGTAGCTATTGGACAGTATTTTCTACTCTCCAAGCTACAGGACAGGTTGATTCTTAGGTAGCAGAATTCTTGTCAACTCAGAAATTCCGTATTTAAGGTTCTTTAAAATGCTTAAATGTACCTTCTAGCCCTGATATATTCTGTATTCTCCACTACTGCTACTTCTTGATACCTCACTACCCAAAGAGAAGTTGCTATTGCCAGAAAAAGAATGTAGAGAGCAGAAACCTCCTGAATATATTGAACAGGAAAGTTCAATGTAAAAAAAAGGAAAGTTATTTAGCTTCCAAACAGGGTCATTATCTTCTTTGGCTACTTCCTTAGCCTGTACAAGTTTTGTTGTAGGCCTCTTGTTTCTGATATACCTAAGGAGTATTTTATTGTTTATTTTTAAATCTTGTAATGTTTGTTCTTGGAAACCTACATTTGCTCTTTGCAATTTCCTCTTACTTAACGCCCGCTGAAGTTTAAGTTCCTGTTTATTGGCTTCCCTAGGATCATGTTTCCAAAATTTGAAGGATTTCTGTTTGGTTGAAATACACTCTTGAACCTTGCCATTTGTCCAGTTTAGCTTAATCCTGCCTTCCTGGTTCCCTCTCTTGCACAGTACACAAGTCATCAAAGACTGTGCCTTTTAAAGTACTGTCAGCCTTGCCTTTGCTGTCTCACAGTTTTACTTTTAGGATCTTTCTGACTAATCTAAGTTTACTAAGTGTGTTAATTCCATTTAGTTTGATTTTTTTTACTATAAAAACAAACAAACAAACACACAAGCAACACAGAAATATGAACAGAACCCACCAAGACCAAGAGGTAGGACAGGGAAACCAGTAAGACTGGAGAAGGGGAGCAGAGGAGTCCTTACTGTTCCCACTTTTGCTGTATGGCTGTGCTGGAGGTGGCGAGCTGCCTGCAGAATCCCAGTGGTGTTGAATGAACCAGTATGTGTCAGGTCCTGCACGGATGGCCACCAGTGTTTCAGCCCTGCCTACCATCCCCTGCTGATGCTGCAAGGCAATGGTAAAAGTTCTGACTGCAGATAGGCTGTCCACCACATCCCACTACCAAGGACCTTATCCTGGACTGGAAAACAGAAGGCCTGGCATACTGAAATCCTCATGCAATGTGTTGGGTAGAAGTGCTGTTGCCCTGCCACATCCAGGCTCTTGCATGTATCGCTTTGTGAAGTCTTCACAAAGTCCAGAGTAACCCCCATCCCTCACCTGCAGGACCAGCACCTAGGGAGGCAAGGGCTGCTCTCCACGTTCTGCCTTTCCTTCTGACACAGAGATGGGCTTTTGGCAAACAGATGGTTTCATTTGTAGGTGTGAGTTTTGAGCATTAAAGTCGTATTTGTCACATTAGAAATAGGAATTAATTTGAAATAGGTTAAATGCTTATGGAATTCCTCATTGTCTTTCATACCTCTACCTGAAGGTTTTTCCAAGATTATCTTTGAAGGTGCATTCTAAAATTTGTGTCCCTCTCAAAACAGAAGTGTATAATGCATCAGTGTTTAGAGCCAAATTGAGAAAATGAGGAAAAGTGTCAGGGTATGAACTTAAGACTTGTAGATGGACAGACTTTTGCCAGCTGCACCACAGGATGAGGTGACCATACAAAACTGTATGGAGGCCCCTTTGCCCAACAGAATAGGATGGGACCAGCAAATTTGCTGCATTGTGTATATGATGTCACATCTGCAACACTTTCATCTTGTCTAGGAAAGGAGGTAATTGCACTCAGCCTCTGAGTCTGTTCAACATTTAATTGAAAAAGCTCTGCAGGCATGTAACTGAATGGCATCTTCTCTGACTGGCTGAGAAGTAAATGCTACTTTCTAGAATGATTTTTTTTTTTCACCTGAGAGCACTTGCTATGTCTTTTAACATTTGATCTCTGGAGCCATCACTGAACTCTGTGGTGGCGTTTTGTTTCCTTAGACCACTGCTGGGATTCAGCCAACTCCACGTTTTGGTCACCACCAAAAGCCTGTGTGATTGCTGTTTCCTCCCCTATCACACACTGTGAGAATGTGTTACCCCTGTCTCAGAGCAGTATCAGATCCAACACTGTTATTAACTATTTGTGCACAAAACTTCATTGGTTCAGATTTTAAAAATTGTCAGTCTTTCCATTTTCTCCTGGTTTTCAGTAGAGGATGCAGTATTTTACACTATTCTCAGTCATTCTAGGACCTGGAAATTGGAATGCTTTAGGGTGATTTAGCTGTTCAGAGCCTTTCCACTGTTCTTACAAACTGATGAGAAGCAATATTGCCCTTCATATAAGTTATTAATGTCTCTGAGACCCAGCAAGCATAGAGGCTTTAGATGGTGAAGACAGGAGAGGCTTGACCATCTTATTATCATGGCAAGCTGACTTGAAAAAAAAAAAAAAAGATAAAAGGAATGCTAATTCTTTGGCTAGTGATATCTGCACATTTCTTCAGTACAGCACTGATGTCAGAAATGGAGGTCCTCCTATTACAACTGGGAGGACCTTTCACTATCTGCAGACATAATGCAACATGGTGGTCCTGTAGCAGTTCTTGATTCTGCAGTTGAGTAACTGCACCCCACAGTTCAGAAGTACTTAGTTCCCACTGCTGTCCTAACATACATGGCACCTGCCAGAACTCAGCACCTCGAAGGATTAGACTGCTTTTAATTATGTGTCCAAATGTTAAACTCAATCATTTATGTCTCTGAGACAGTATCTTGCAGGCCAATGCACAATAAACTGCACTGAGGCATTTTTAATACTTTACATTCCCAGAAGGTAGGGCTTAGGCATTTGGTGTCCAGGCCAGCCCTGTCTGGGTAAGTACCATCAGTATTATGCAGGACTCCACTTTTCATTGATACTTGTATTTGCATTGTTTTTATTATATTTTGTTATTATGTTGAATATTTGAATGACTTGCATGTGGAAATGTCAATAATTTAATGATCTATTGATTAATAATGCTTTTTCAATGTATGCTTTGTATTTAAAAGCCCATCCTTGCAAACATTTCATGGGTGAATGTATCATGCTTACCTTTACTTTTCTAAAGGTATGTAGTGAAAGCTGGTCATCCAAGTCCCATCTCTGTTCAGGGACCATGGGCTGATTCAGAAGTCTGTAAGACAGATGTATAGAGTTATGTTCCAAAGTTGTCTTTCCCTTTCCATTAATTATGGAATTAATTAATGGACTTAAGTCAGTCCATATGCCTTTTAATGATACAGTTAGGTAAGAAATTCAGCCCCTTCTGTAAGTGACATTCTTTTCAGTGGAGCTGTCAAAATGATGACTGCTGTAGTTGTGTTACCTTTTTGCAGGATTTGACCTGTATTATTTTCTCTAAAAGCTTTGGTGTGTGATTACATTATTGCATGTTTCTTTGCCTGCAGCCAACATCTTGTATATGGCAAGCCAAGAAATGATGAAGGTTGTGGAGAGAGACAGTACAACCATAAAGCAAAATTTAAAGAAGGTAACTTATTTCATCTTCAGAGTTTTCATGGGGCGCTCACACACATGAGGAAATGTTACATCCAGTTATATTTGTGCAAAACCAGAATTTCCACAGGCTTGATTCTGCTTTTATGTTAATGTCATTCCGTTGACTTTGGAAAAGCCATGAAAGGGGTCACTGGTCATTAAAATATCATTTGACCACACCTTTGTAGATGTAGGATTCACCTCTAGCAGATGTATTATCCTATCTGATATGTTTTCCTTGGTAGAGGAGAAACAGTCTGCCTTCTGGCTAAACCTGAGTTGTGATTCCCAGTGAGGCCAGTAGTTACAAGCAGATGGCCAGCCTGGGCCTGATTGACTAAATCCTCTGACTTTGCTGCTGGACAGGTCAAGCAGAACATGTACCATCTGTGTTGTGTGATGTCAGTTAATATCATGGGATTTTGCAGCTTGATTTCTCCATGGCAGCAAAACATAATAGAGAGAAGTCAGCGAAATTATTATGGCTCCACAGTTTCAACCCTTTGAATGTAGGGTAAGAGAAAGATACAGAAAATGCACTCCTCAGAGACTGGAGCTGCTACTCTACAAGTAAATACAGTAGTTTCGGGGACCTTTCACCTGCACTGAACTTTCTGGACTGTGTGGGTTTATTCTTGAAAGAGATCCTGGTACAGTTTTGCTCTGGACCCATAGCATTCTCCCAGTCAATTCCCGGGCATGATTCAGGGTTGGCACAAGCCAGGAACTGTTCTTAATTGGAGCTTTGATGTGGTCATCCCATTTTGGAGGCTGAGAGAATTTAATAGTGTGGCCATGGTCAGACAATTTCAGATGGCTTATGAGCCAGAAAACTCACATTTAATAAACTACTATTGGTGCAATCTCTGTGAGCAGATAATCAGTATGACATATAATTCTACTGTGTCCCCTTTCTTCCCTCCATTTCTTTGTATCATCCCTGTCTTTTTTCTAGAAGAATTATCCCAGCACTTTGCACTGGTAGACATTTTCCTTGGAGAATGGAATTTTCTAGGACAGAGGTCCCAGATCTCTGTAAGATTACTTTGTGCCTTGTAAATAGATATGGTACAAAGTTCACTTCATAAATCAGTCTTTCTTTTTTTGGCTGAAAATTGATTTATTTTTTACTTATCCCATTTGCCTCCTCTGCACTTTGAAAGGTATGTTCAGATGTTCCAGTTCTAGTTTTTTTAAAGGAGTTGAAATAGGACATGTGAACAAGGAACTCTCCACTGCACTAGGCATGCCTGATTCTTCACGTTTTTATTGCAGAGCATTACTGCACTTT